GATGCTGGACCCGCTTTCCAGCCCCACAGGTCATTTTGGGGTTTTTACAAGGGATGCTGGACCCGCTTTCCAGCCCCACAGGTCATTTTTGGGTTTTTACAAGCGATGCTTACCCCGCTTTCCAGCCCCACAGGTCATTTTGGGGGTTTTACAAGCGATGCTGGACCCGCTTTCCAGCCCCACAGGTCATTTTTGGGGTTTTACAAGGCATGCTGGAGCTGCTTTCCAGCCCCAGTGCTGCCCCACAGGTCATTTTTGGGGTTTTACGAGGGATGCGAGACCCCCTTTCCAGCCCTACAGGTCAGTTTTGGTTGATGATGGTTTCAATTGGGGGGTCAGAGAGGGACCAGCACTCAGATAGGATCTGCTTTGATCAGTGGTTGTTTGGGACTGTAGCAGAGGGAATTTCAAAGGTGTTTTGGGCTTAGGGAAAGGGCCTTGTGCAAGGCCTCTATCCCAGCCTTTGAAAAAGAAAAAAAAGAAAAAAGAAAAAAAAAAAACCGTGTTTTTTTTCCCTAGCAACTGTAGCAGATGGAAAGGTGTTTCATGTTGGGCTACTTCGCCTTAGAAAAAAAAAAACGTCGGGGTTTCCAACTTTCCATGCTTCCCTTGCTTTTTTTTCCCCCCTCTTCTCAGGGATTAGGCTAAGCAAGGAAAAGAAAAGCAGAGGTTGAGCAGTAGTACAACCTTCCTATTAAGGAAAGTTATCGGTGCTTCTGTCACAGAGGCCATTGACCAATAGCGAAGGGCCGTGTTTGCGGGTGTCTCCGATGTAAGCATTGTGAGGGACGCTGGACCCGTTTTCCAGCCTTCAAAAAAGCATACTAAGGAAAGTTAGCACTGTCTTGGTGTTAAAAAAAAAAGCCGGAAAAAGAAAAAAAAAGACAAGCGGCTGCCATGCCACACGGCATTAAGGGCGTGAGGCCTTGCAGACCCTGATAAAAATTTATGTCTGTTTCACGTATATCTTGTTGCCTAACTTGCCTTGGCCAATAGGCCCGCAATAAACGACAATTTCGTGGGGGAAGGGGGGGGGGGGAAGGGAATGAGTGCACATTTTTGCTTTGCACCACAGTGATGCGACAACCACTTCGTAAAATTGGACATTTCTGTTTTCCACTGAAGGAAATAGGACGGCAGCGGAAAACAAAAAAAAAAGAGGACTGCCCCGATGCCGCCTGAAAAAATGGCCAAAATTCTCTTCTGAAGTTCTCAGTCTTTCGGACAGAATCTGACTCAGGTTTTCTGACGGTACAAAGTTTTTTTCACCTGGACTGCTAACATCCCAGAGGGTCCGGTGTTCTGAAAACTCCATACCCTCAGAACTTGAGTCAGAAGGGAATTTTGGACATCTTTTGGGGGCTGCATCAGGGCAGTCCCTATGTCGTTCGATGAACCAAAAAAAATAAATCCATTTGGACGAAATGGGTGTTATGCCTCGAGTTTCATCCCCTTACAGGATTACAATTGTAGCATTCTACGCTTCACCACAGGAGTCCTTCACTGCCAAACACGCCCATCCATACACTGTTTTCCTGTTT